CTATGATCCTGAAAGATGAACGACGATGACCTATGTCAATAGTTATGATCAAAGCAACACCATTTGAGAAATTTCTCAATTTTTTATCTGTGAAGATCAATAAAGTAAATAAATCTGTGATAGACTTATTTATCTATTTGTTTACTAACTCTCGCATCAAATGATGTGTGGAGAAGGATACACTATTAAAGTGTTTTTCCTAAGGGAATTTTATCAAGAATTCTTTTTTATACAAATAAAATTATTTTTAGATTGAATTAATCAATTAATCTTATTAACCCATTAAAATAATTATTCTTAACTCTCTCATATTTAAATAAATATTTTTCTATTTGTGCATTATTTAAAAATTAATTCTTATAATAAGTTTGCTTAAGTGCTTTACGATTAGGGGTGTCAAAAACATAAATTAGAGGTGTTAAGAAAGCAATAAAGTCCAACAAAAACAAACTAAAGCACCAAGAAAGCCCAAATGAAGCAAATTAATTGATTAACATAATCGACAATAATATTTAAAATGATAAAATTTGGAATGTTGAACAACTCTCAACAGATAGTTGAAGAAATTAATATAGTAATAGATAGTTGCAACGAAAATTTCTCAAAAACTAATGTTGGTAATTGATTAATCTAATCAATTAAATGAAGACTATATAAACATGTACTTTTTATTTCTTCTTCACAACTCCGTTTCTCATTACCTACTTCCATAAAAACACTCTTGTTTCTCAAAATCATTGTCACATATCCCAAATGGTTTAAAAAAGAGCCTGGTCCTCCCAACCTCCACCATCATACTTTTCTGAAACCTTCTCAAAACAATCTCAAGAAACCAACTTCAATATTTACTACTCCGATATAGAGCTCTTCACTACTCACTATTTAGATGAAGAATCTTCAAAGATTGCTCATTCATAGAAGCATTCAAATATGCAAGGTTGAAAGAATTTGTGTTTTCAAAACCCAAATAAATATATCTCGAGCAAGTAATAAAATTCTATGCAAACCTTACCTACACAAATGGGATCATCAATCATGAAGTTAAAAAACATCCCATAGCCCTCTCTCTCTCTCTCTCTCTCTCTCTCTCTCTCTCTCTCTCTCTCTCTCTCTCTCTCTCTCTCTCTCTCTCTCTCTCTCTCTCTCTCTCTCTCTCTCTCTCTCTCTCTCTCTCTCTCTCTCTCTCTCTCTCTCTCTCGAGGACTTTGCCACTATCTGTAATCTACCATACATATAACAAGATTATGATCAAAACTATGAAGGTAATGAGATTAATATTGACACTCTAGCTACTCCTTCCTCATTGACCATACTTCCTTTGTTCCTCATTCTTTCAATGTTGGAATTATTCATCCAAATATTAGGTTGATTCACTACACCGCAGGCCAAAGCTTATTTCCAAGAAAAGGCAACTATAACACCATCTCTAAATCAAACACACTTGTTTTCTGGTTTTTACACAATCAAATTCCCAAAAACTAGGCAGATGAGGTTTTAGCTCATATGGTAGAGAGAGAAAGAAAGAACAACACTTTCCTTATGCCAACCTCATAACCAAAATTCTCAACTACAATGGTTGTCCCTTTGACGAGGAAGAACCTATCATCCAACATATTAAGATAGGACAACCTGCAATAAGTAAAATGGGATTTACAATCAAACAAGGAGAATTTGTTACACAACAGCCAAGAATAAGGGAAAGAAGGAACATCCCTTCATCTAGCTCCAACACCAACATCCTTGCAGAGTAGAAAAATGAATGAAAAGTTAAACTTTATAATCTAGAAAATGGCTAGAGAGAACGTCATCTCTCCTTTAGCCTCTAGTGAAGATGAGGATTGGATGAACTAAGAGTTTTTTAAAACTATTTCTTGTTGTTTTGCTTGTTTTAATTCATGTACTTTATTTCTGCATCATTTACTTACAAATTTTTCCTTCTTGTTATTTTCCATTCAATAATATAAATGTTTTTCCCTTTAGTAAAATGTCCTTCATGCCATTTTGTCTGCCTTATACATATCCTTTTGGTTATGATATGATGCCCACAATCTTTATTTTGCTTAAATTAGGCACACTTTAAAATGCATGAAAGCAAAACTTATACATGATTCAGGGAAACTAATATATGTCTCATCTTGAGTAAAATCCTCTTTTGACACACATGTCTCATAATTTTATATCATAAGTGTTTCATATCTCCTACATTTTACCATGATCAATATCTTTACTTTAAACTAGTACTTTCACCCCGTGTGATGTACGAGACAAATTATGAATAAATATTGTAGGTGAAAAAAAGTTTTAGGATTTTTGTTGATTGAATAGTTGAAGTACATAGAAATTAGTGGTGGAGTAATGAGCTGGACTAATTAATATTAAATATTAACTAATATATTAAATAACATTTGTTGAAAAGAGAAAAGAAAATAATGTAATTAAAAACTGTTTAGGCGAGATTTTACTCAAAACTTGGGGCTAAATGTGTTTGTTGTTTTAATACATTAAGGATAGATATATATCATATGCAAAATTGTATTCAACATACAATTTTCATATGGTAAAAACCTTATTCCGTGTCTAAACATATTTTAGGAAACCCTAGTTTATACATATTTTTCTCCTCAAAGAGTAATTTCTTTTATATACATGCTTCTTTATAACATAATTTTTGCCGCACATAAATATATCACCACTTTATCTTGCATAGTTTAAACACTTATAATGATATAGTTTTAAAAACATGATCTATTCTTATGTTTGATAAAATGCTTTATGCCATGTTTAAGCTTATAAAAAATATCTTGATACCGTGGTTAAGTTTGTCTTAAGGAATCTTATAGAATATCTTTTACCATATCCTTGTTTAAAAGATCTATATACCATGATATTCTCTATGACATGTTTGCTAAGTGTTTTCTATATATGTTAAAAATGCATTACGCCATGCTAGTCTTGAAACTTGATGTATTCTATAAGAATGTTTCTTTAACTAAACTTCTACGGATAAATATGTTACATGTATGCTATTAATTTGATGTTATTTGTTTGCATATTCATTCACATCTTTTACCCGACTTTTTTATTATTGATATGGTTGAATTTCCCTTAAGTCTATTATAAAGCCTTGTTTATTTGAAGGACGAAGTTCTTCAATATTGATGAACTTACCATTAGGTTCATGGTTAACCCGTATAAAACCATAGGTTAGAAGACCAGTATGTTAAAATCTCAAGAAGTTAACAATTATCTTGTTAAACCATATTGAGCTCATATATTTTGTGGAGAGAAGCTTATCACTTCAATCTACATTTGGGAAAGAAGCTTGTCCACTTCAGTCTCAACCATAAAGAAGACGTAAACGATCATATATTCCACCTTGTATTATCATGGTTATAGGATAACCACCATTTCCTTGTATAAAGGAGTTCGTGAACTTCACCCACTAAAAGTTCTCAAGTATATAATGGAAACTCTTAAGATCAATTATTTAAGAGAGGAGTGTGTCTTTTATTTTTGACTGAACCTCTATACATCCCGATGTTTTTCTTTTCCCTTAACCTGTTTTACTTTCGGCACTTTACTTCTAAAATATTTTTATATTCCGCTGCTAAGTTATAGAAAAAACTTTTTCAAACACTGATAAAACTTAGGTTTTAGAAACTTTTTTAAACTCTAATTTTAATTTTGAAAAGTTTTTAAAACCATGTTTTTCCAATAGATTGAAGCACATTTTTCTACTACTATGTGCAACAAAGATTGTTGCTATCTTTTAGCAATCTGATTTGTTTGATTATTTAATTAGGTTAAATTTAAATCATGGAGATTTAAATTTGAATTCAAATCAAATCAAATCTTTTTAGTGGAGCTGTTTTGGAGAAACAAATCTTAATTGATTTTACACTATATCTGGATGTATCACTACCTAAATCCAAGGAGAAAATGTCCATCTATTTGTTGCAATATATAGAGACTTATTCCATGCCTTGAATATGATGAGCTTGAGTGATAATTTGTGTTTTAGGTTGAGTCTTTGTTTGTGTTAATTGTACACCACACTTTTGTTTCTTCATTAGGCACAATAGACAGTTTATTTGTTGAGTTGAAATTCAACATTCATCATTGTGTTTATTGGCGTTGATCACTTGAGATTAGTGATAGAGAGAAAGTGAAAGGGGGTTCTTTTATTTAAGGGATCCTAAATAGAAAGACGCTATGGTAGATTTAAGAAGAGGGACATTGAACAAGAGGCTTGTTCAATTTGCTTTCTTGGATTTGATGTCCCCCTAGATGTAGATGTGGCTTGCACTGAACTGAGTTATCGATTCTTTTGTGTTCTTTATTGTTATCATAATGTGTTGAATTTAGTTAGACAAGTTATCTCAGACATCTCGTCCAACATCTATCACTTGAGAAATAACATTATATTATTCACCGTATTTTGTTTTAAAATGATTGACACTAATTTTTTTACTTTTTGTTTTTAAAATTAAATATTTTTATTACTATTTTATGCCCTCTATTTTTTAGATATAAGTTGTTTTGATGTTTTAAAATGTATTAAAATGTAAATATTATTATATGGAAAAAAGAAATTAAAAAATATTTTACAAATTTTATTTTTCATTAGTTATATAGAAAAATAAACTTAAAAAATTGAAAAGAGAAAAAATAATGAATATTTAAATATATAATAAAAAATATTAATAATTCGTAAAATTGTAAAACAACTTATAATTTATTATAATTTTCTTTTTATAATAATTTATAATAAAAAACAAAGTTCCCTTTTATAAAATGATTATCTCTCTTTCCATTTCACTCTCTCCTCTCTTTCCACTCACCAAACAAGTCCTTAACCAAACACACTTTAAAAGGTAAGTTAGTTACAGTTAGAACACAAACATTATCCCACTTTCACTTCAACTCAACTAATCAAAATCAAAACTATGAAAAACAAACCATAACAAAATTCATAAACAAAAACACAATTTCACTTCACCATGTCAGAATCAAACGCCATAGCAAATGGCTTAGCTGGTGCTGGTGGTGGAATCATTGCTCAAATCATAACTTATCCACTTCAAGCTGTATACCACAAATTCTCTCCCTTGTTCATATGTACCACAGACACCTCTGAACAAAAGCGTGTCTGTCTCAGACACATGTTCCAACACTTATGATTATATTTAATTTATTATTTTTTTTAAATTATCCCGGTAGTTAATTATCTTCAAAGCTTTTTAACTAATTAATTTCAATTTCGTTGCAATTTTCAGGTAAATACACGGCAACAAACTGAGAGAACGTTGCTCAAGAAGAATAAGCAAGGCTTGCTTCCTCAATCTTCTTCCAATGGAATAGCTACTGCTTCTTCTTCTGGGGTTTTTCTTCAAATCTTTCAGGTTAAATTTGATTTTCGTAGTTTTGATTTTTGGTTTGTTGTGCTTTTTGATATTTTGATTATGATTATTATTATTATTGTGATGATTGATTAGGTTATTGGAAATGAAGGTTGGGGTGGACTTTATAGTGGTCTAAAACCTTCTCTTCTTGGAACTGCTGCTTCTCAGGTTAGAAATTGCTGGTCTTTTTCTTTTACAACTATAGTCAATAATTTATTCATTTTTTCAAATTATTATCAGTGCCAAGTGTCGTTTTTCTGATATCCGTGCTTCATAGAAATCCTGCCACACTTTAACACCATAAAGAGGTTCTCAGCTTAACCGCAACCATAATTTAAAACCATTTACTACTTCGTTCGAATCATATTGACTACCATAAGAGGTTTCTTATGACATGTGCATAACCTTAAACGAAAGATGATATAAGTAAAAGTGAGAGTTCATTTGTTAATGCGATACGATATGCTTTTTGTTTGGGAGTTTAGTCTGTTGTTTAAGTGCTCATTTTTCAACGATTTCAGGGAATTTACTACTTCTTCTATCAAATCTTCAAGAACAAGGCTGTGGCTATTGCAGCTGCAAGGAAAGTCAAAGGGCATGGAGATGGAACTGTTGGAATGTCTGGTTGGCTCATTGTTGCCGCTATTGCTGGGTGACTATGTTTTCTTTCATGACCATATGTGACAGTGTATTAAAATATCCGTAATTGCGGCGCTATGGCGGATATACATGGCAGTTTTCAGGCTTGCCGCAATGTTAAATCTCGGCCAACATTGCGGGCTTTTCTGCCATAATCCGCTATAACGGCTCCACAAACTGTCCGGTATAGAGAAATTTTTGCTCTCTGTCATGGACCGCCATCCGCCATGGAAAACACTGATATGTGATAGTGAACCTTACTTACATGGATTTGACCCGATATTCTTATTTCTGTTTCCTTATTATGCAGATCCTTGAATGTTTTGTTCACAAACCCAATATGGGTTCTAGTGACTCGTATGCAGGTGCATTATTTGAATATTTTTCGTATTTTTTGAACATCTTTGTTTATAGCTTTACAGATGGTAAAACGAAATTCATGTTTTTTATTGAAATGATTAATGTTTTAAGTGGGTGTGATCTGTAAAACATTTTTTTCACACGGAAGCACCAGTGTTATCAAATACCCGCCATGGTGGCCCTATTGGCGGATATACATGGCAGTTTTTGGGCTCGCTGCAAACCGGCCGGTATGGCAGGATGTGGCAAGTGCTGAAAGGGAGAACAATCTGTTTGAAAAACAAATCCGGCATAAAAAACGACAAGTAAAACACATACGAAAAAAATGATTGATCATAAATTTCAGCAGATTGTATCTACGTCCCTGATAATACAGTGGCTGCAACAGCTTTTCTGTTATGGGCTTGCTTCATTATGCTTTGCTCGAACGTCTGCCAACTTATTAGTAAATATGAACCATGCTCAACACCATCCATAAACTTCACATTCTTAAAACTAGCTAGCCATTTTCCGTTTTTTCTGATGTTACGACAAGCAATATATCCATGTCTTTAGTCCATTGTCGATTATGCTTGACGTTTTATATTTTGATTCTAGACACATATGCAAGCAGAAAGAAAAATCATGGACGAAAAGAAAGAAGCTTTAAGGAAGGCTGCTTCCGAAAGTAACTTATCAGGTTCGACTTTGGAAGACAAATTAGCAGACCTGAATTCTTCAAAACCCCGACCATTTGGGACTGTACATGCAGTAAGCCTCTTGCTTATTTTTTCCATATTGAATTCTACGCCATAGATTGTCAATTCACATCGCAGGCACGTGGAAGCTTTCCTTTTTGCTTACACTAATATGAAGTTTTTATTTGACGAAAAGGCTAATGAAGTTTATAATGAAGCCGGTATAGTTGGATTTTGGAAGGGTGTCATCCCTGCTCTAATTATGGTTAGTCGTACCAATTATCTTGTTAATATATTCAATTCTGTGTTGTCAATTGTATGCACGTCACAGAAAATACCGATTTGTTCAATTTCTGCTACAATATTTTGGTATAGCTCCACGATAGCCTCTTTTCACGAAATTTTGTACTAAATAGTGTATCGTAGAACAAAAGCAATTTGTCCAAATTTCAACCCTCTATAACCGCCATTTGATATCACGGATTCAATCAATATAGGTATGCAATCCATCCATCCAGTTTATGATTTATGAGAGTTCATTAAAGCATCTAAGGGAGAAACGTTCTGCTAAGAAGCAAGGGGATACAACTATAACTGCTTTGGAGGTATAGAATACTTATAAATATACAACAAAAGTAGAAAGCATGTTTTAGGAGAATATTTGTATTTGTTTGATGTCACTCGTCTGTATATTTTTCTTGATATGTATATCAGTAAGCATCCTCTTGTCATTCAAAAGGTCTTTTTGGTGGGAGCAATAGCGAAACTCGGAGCTACTGTCGCAACATATCCGTTGCAAGTTGTTAAGGTAAATTCATACATATATCCTTCATTGTCTTGTAAATTGGTATTTAACATTAAAAACGGATCAAACTTACCCTGAAATTGTACATTCACGAGTATATGAGAATCGTTCTCAACCTCAATCTCAGTAAAGTAGAAATCCTGTCAGTATTCCAATATTGGTTCACATCTGTATCAAATGACAGTCTTATGTTTTCAGTGGATTTGTCCCATCTCAAGTGAAGAAACTGAGTAGTTATAGTTGTCGGTTGTTCAGATTGTTGTACTTATATGGGCGTGTATAATCGTAAGCTCCGTTGTTAGTTTATGAATCAATAACTGTAACTTGTCACTTCTCCTTCTAATTTGACTCCCTCACTTCAGAGGAGCCTAATACATTTTCAACTCTCCAGATTTTAGATTACTGAATAACATTCATTCTATGCAATGAGTGTTATCTTTCTCTCTGTCCTTGTTTTCGTAATCAGAACGCAAGTGACTACTCCTTGTGCTAATGCTTTATCAGGCTTGTGTAAACTCGCAACAGAACTGAGTTAGTAGTTCATCTTAGACCAAAAAAAATGTTTTTAGCCCAAATGGCTCCCCGACTTTTTGAACCTTATTTTCTCCTCTTTTTTACGAATGAGTGGTGAAGAATCGTTAAGAACACCATCGTCCATGCTAATGTTAGGTAGACTTTTCCGAGTCTATGAGTCAATTTTCTTAGGCAAAACGAGATTATCAAGAATATCTACTTTCACAGTGTATATGTATCTAAATGACTATTCTGCAGAGTAAGATCACACAAGAAAACAACCATAAACTCCTAGATGTTATTTGAATCTTATTACATCATATTTCATTCCTTGCAGTCAAGGCTTCAAGCAAAGCAAGAGATTGGTGGAAATAACTCATTAAGATACTCAGGTTTGATTTTAGCTAGATGCGATTTAACATAATTTGCTGTGTATTAAAGCTGTGAAATCATTGTCATTGTATATTGAACTTTATTAATTACTGTTGTATATTGAACTATATTGTTTGTTCTTTGTCAAATTCCGTGTTCATGATCATATAATATATGCAGGTACATTTGATGCAATTTTTAAAATGATCCGGTACGAAGGATTTCGAGGATTTTATAAGGGAATGAGTACAAAGATAGTACAAAGTGTTTTTGCTGCTTCTGTATTGTTCATGATAAAAGAGGAACTTGTTAAGGCTATCATGGTTCTGGCAAATAAGAGAAAAAAAGTTGTATTAAAGTATGAGTAGTTAACTTGCCTTTCATCGGATAGATATAGAAAAGTTGTACCCCTTCTTCTCTTCAGCATCCATAGTGAGGGGGGTTCAATTCCTAGCATTTAGCATCTTTAGGATGTGTGTATACTTTCTTAACTAAACATAGTTCCAAACTTTTGGGAGTTAAGAAACTATAAAGTTCATCTTTTCAAAAATCTCTCTTCATCAAATATAGGAGGTTTGATTGAGTAAAATGTATTAGTCTCTTCTGCATTATAACTTGAACGTTCTAACATTTTTCTTAAAGATCTTTTACTTGTACATGATTAAGTTTTTAAATAAAAGATCAAAACTTGATACCAACTGAAAGTGAAAAAAGTTCAAGAATAGGAGTTTGATACAAGAAGAAGGAGATTGACACAAGAAATTTATTTTTGTTCATCCCATAACTCGTAGTTACTCTTGGCCGTTTATACTTTGATAGATTTTTATTATAATCCAACTGGTTACAATATCACTAAAATATCTCTTGTTCCAACCGAACTATATCTTAAATTTCTCAAACACAAATAGATGATCTCAACCGGACCTCTTTGTCTCTCAAAGAATCTCTCTAAATCTTTTTACTTGCATGTACATGATTAAATGTTTAAATAAAAGATTAAAGCTTTAATACCAATTGAAAGTGAGAAAAGTTCAAGAATAGGAGTTTGACACAAGAAGAACGAGATTCACACAAGAAATTTATTTTTACTCATCCCATAACTCGTAGTTACTCCCGGCCACTTACACTTTATAGATTTTTACTATAATCCAACTGATTACAATATCACTAAAATATCTCTTGTTCTAACCTAACTATATCTTAAATTTCTCAAACACAAATAGATTATCTCAACGGGACCTCTCTGTCTCTCAAAGAATCTCTTTAAAACTTTTTACTTGTATGTACATGATTAAGTGTTTAAATAAAAGGTCAAAGCTTTAATACTAACCGAAAGTGAGAAAAGTTCAAGAATAGGAGTTTGACACAAGAAGAAGGAGATTCACACAAGAAATTTATTTGTGTTCATCCCATAACTCGTAGTTACTCCCAGCCCCTTACACTTGATAGATTTTTACTATAATCCGGTTGATTACAATATCACTAAAATATCTCTTGCTCTAACCTAACTATATCTTAAATTTCTCAAACACAAATAGATTATCTCAACTGGACCTCTCTGTCTCTCAAAGAATCTCTCTAAAACTTTTTACTTGTATGCACATGATTAAGTGTTTAAATAAAAGATCAAAGCTTTAATACCAATTGAAAGTGAGAAAAGTTCAAGAATAGGAGTTTGACACAAGAAGAAGGAGATTCACACAAGAAATTTATTTTTGTTCATCCCATAACTCGTAGTTACTCCCAGTCCCTTACACTTGATAGATTTTTACTATAATCCAACTGATTACAATATCACTAAAATATCTCTTGCTCCAACCGAACTATATCTTAAATTTCTCAAACACAAATAGATGATCTCAACTAGACCTCTCTGTCTCTCAAAGAATCTCTCTAAAACTTTGTCCTTTGAAAAATACAATCAAATATACATATAATTAACTTGGTGTATACAAATATCACTCAATAGAAGATGTAAACAAATTTAAATAGAAAAAATGATGCTTACTTTGAGTACTCATGTCCAAATGATAGTGTTGACAAGTTGTAGAAATAGGTAACAAAGAGAAGTCTCATTGACACACATTTAGAGGATCTTCAACATATGTAAAACTGTAGTATTATATCTACAAGGATCCCAAACAAGGGCGACCCCTAAGTCCCTGTCTAGAACGATGTCGCCTGGGAAACATCCACACAGAACATGAGGGGCTCACACCTGGACAAATAATGTGTATAATAATGTAATCTCTCTTTAGTTATGTGTAAATGACTCATACCACTATTCCCTGAGAAATATGTAGTCAACAGTCTTCCGTAAATCAGAGAGAGTGGTTGCTGCCCCTACAAGGTTTCCTAAACCCTAGGCCCATAGAGCCTATATAAATATTTCTCCCCATTGAGAGAAAGGGATATAACTTAACATATACATATCATACCTTATATACTCAAAATCATATAGATAAAGCCTCTCACCTCATTTGAGAAGGTCCTCTAAACCGTGGAATATTATTTTGTAGGTAATATGCTTTTCACAAGGACATTAACTTTTGATGATGACAGTTAATGTCTTCTGACAAGTCAAATATAAATGGTTAAAGGAGATAAAGATGCAAACTTAGGTATAAGGGTTTAATGGACTGAATATCTGATGATAAAAATCAAATGGAATGTAGCTAAAGCCTCATTTCAAGTTACTCAAGCAAGTGTCTACAAAAGAGAAAGCATCTAACAAAGTATTGAAGTGAGAAGGACCCTCATAAATTGTTATTGAGTGAACCAATTGTAAATAATAAGGGTTTTATCGTAAAAGCGTGTGGCTAAGGCGCACACACTAAAATATATTTTCAAACTGCTTTTACCAAAGAAAATATCTTGAAGTCGTGACAGATGAATTATGAGCTATCAATTGATTAGAACTTTTGTGTAAATGGTTAGCTCAATTCAAAATTGAGTCCCAAGTGATTAGGAAACGCCTTAATGATGTGAAACTGTTAGATTTTTTTTCTTTTTTAAACTTACAATTGATTATATTTCAAACTTATAATCAATTGAAAACATGTTTTGATCGATTAGATTGACATGAAATGCATTTATGTGAAATTTCTTTTTGAGAACACCTATGGTTTTCTTATTGTAACACCCTAATTTCCCGACGTAACTTATAAATAAAAATCAGAGTAAATTAAAACAATTAAGAAATTAGGATACTACATTCAACTTCAACCAGCACATACGACAGATGGGATATGTGACACATGATATTTTAAAGAGCATAAAAGATCATAATATAAATCCTATATTTTTAAGGCTACCACACCCTAAACCTAAGGGTTTCCCTAACACATCAAAACATCAACCAAAACATACCATCACACAACTTATTTACGAAAATTAATTAAATAAATGGGGTGTTACAACTCTCCCCTACTTAGAATATATCTGTCCTCGAAAATTTACCTGATGCGAACAACTCTAGATACACCTCTTGCATCCGAGTTTCCAACTCTCACGTCATGTTCCCTCCAGCAACACCTCACCAAACTGCCTTCATGAGAGCAATTTCCTCGCCTCTCAACTCTTTCAATTCACGTTTTTCGATCCTCACAAGTAAGACTTCAACTGTAAAATTATCTCTTACTTGCACATCATCCATAGGAATCACATGAGACGGATTGAGAACATACTTATGAAGTTGTGAGACATGGAATACATCATGCAAATTCAAAAGATTAGGTGGCAAAGCCACCCTATAAGCAACAACTCCAACCTTCTGGGAAATCTGATATGGATTGATAAATCGAGGAGTAAGCTTTCTCGATTTCAAAGCACGCCTGACAACGGTCACCAGAGTGACTCTAAAAAATACATGGTCTCCTTCCTGAAACTCAAGATCCTTCCTTTTCTTATCATGGTAACTCTTATGCCTACTTTGTGAAGCCTTCATCTTTTCTCGAATTAATGTCACCTTTTTAGTAGTCTGCTAGACAATCTCAGGTCCAACACTATATTTTCATCAGATTCATGCCAACACAAATGTGTCCTACACCTCAGACCATACAATGCATAAAATGGTGCCATTCTAATGCTAGAATGGAAACTATTGTTGCAAGTGAACTCTATCAGGGGAAGATGACTATCCCAAGCCCATCCTTGCTCAAGGAAACAAGATCTCAACAAATCCTCCAAAGACTGAATAGTTCTCTCTGTCTGACCTTATGTCTGCGGATGATAGGAAGAACTCAACCTCAACTGAGAACTCAAATCCTCATGCAATCTCTCCAAAAATATGGATGTAAACCCCAGGTCTCTATCCAAAACAAAACTCTCTTGAACACCATGCAACTTCACAATTACTCGGATGTAAATCTCTGCCAACTTCTGAAAGGGAAAACTTGTAGGATCAAGAGCTTACCATTTCTCTAGAGGTAATTACTGTTAGTGAAAGTGAAACTTTATTTCCTTATAATATGAGCTCTCAGGGGCTGATCCTAAAGCGAGGTTTGTAAGCTCCCTCTAGGCGGCATAAGTTGGGATGTTAAGCCCATTCGAATCCCTGAGGGTGACACTGAGTTTATTTATCCAACAATCTCCCACCAGTGTCAGCGGGGGGATTTGAACCCATAACCAGGATCTGATACCACTTGTATGGTCAAGCGCTTACCACTACTCTAAAATCAATTGTTGTTAGTGAGAGCACAACTTTATTTCCTTATAGTATAAGCTCTCAGGGGGCTGTTCCTAAAGCAAGGTTTGTATGCTCCCTCTAGGCGCCATGAGTTGGGATGTTAAGCTCATTAGAATCCCTAAGGGTGACGTTGGATTTATTTATCCAACAAAACCGATGTTAATCAGAATAAAATACGCCGACTTAGTTAGTCTACTGTTGTACCCCAAAATTTTCCCTCCCATTTTTCACAGAAATCACAACCCTAGGGTTTCTCAGATATTCAAGATTGGCTCAGGAATCGATCAGACAGATTTTCTCCTGTGGCAATAAACCAACAATTAGGGTTTTTCTTACAATTCTCAAAAGAATTGAATTCTCAAAGATCTAATTGGCTTTCACATGTTTTCATGCTTTTTCAAGTTTACTGAAAGGTTACTGTTTGTTCTCAAGGCATATTCATTTGGGACAAGAGATGGGATCTAAGACTGTCATTTGGGACATTCATGTTTTGTTTGATCCAGGTTAACCAGATAATTTGTGTCTGTTAAGACATTTTCTTGTTAATGGAATAAATATTTCCTTGTTTATGGAATAGACAGTGCGTGTTCTGTTTGGAACGTAGTTGCAAGATTACATAATTATTAGATTACATGATTATTGGAATTTAAGTTATCTTGATTGGAATTATTGGAATGCAAT